TATATATATATATATATATATATATATATAGATATATAAAACTGAGGGGCAAATTCTATAAGACAGTTGCGAGGCCAGTTTTGCTCTATGGGGTAGAATATTAAGTGGATAAAAAACAATATATTCATAGAATAATTATAGTTGAGATTAGGATATTGAGATGGATGAGTGGCAAGACAAGAACTGATAGAATTTGAAATTAATCCATTCTAGAGACTTTAGGTATGACACCAATAGGCGATAAGATGAGAGAGAGTAGACTTAGTGGGCTGGTCATGTGTGGCGCTGACCAAGTACAACACCTGTTAGGAGGTACGAGTTAATTCAAATGGAATGCTAAAAAGAGCAAAGCGTAAGCCCAAAAAGACGTAGTTGGAAGTAATCCGTAAATATATAGAGACTTGACCTCACTTAGGGCCCGTTTGGCCCGTTTGGGTACCTGTATTACCATTACGAGACACTGAATTACAAGGAAATTTGTCATTTCTTACGTTTAGGTAGTTTATAGTATACAGGAAATGAAAATGTAACTCCCAACAACATTCCAAAAATAGTGAAATTAGAGGCAAAGAAATCGATTACATAGCCGTGACAGGCAATATGGATCCGCCTTAATTATAAACTCCACCTCATTCACTTGAAGTCCGCTTAAAAACACCCTTCCTCTCTTGCTCCGCTTAAAAACATCCTTCCTCTCTCATACACACATTGGGTTCTTTTGTGCTTCAATGACCTTGGCATTTTGAGGTTTTAAACAAGGGTGATGGATGAAATGGCTAAATGGCGTCATGTTTTTTTTGGTTTCAAGGACCTTGAGCCCATTTTAGGAATTTCAACAAGGGTAGACGAAATGGCTAAGTGGGGTCCTTGACAATGCTTTATACCCCATCCGGACCCAACCCGGGACCTGGCCTAGGTCTGGGTATGGGTCAAGAATTGGACCCAACGGGTCGAATCCGGGTCCAAATATTGGACCCGAACACTACTTGAGTCTGGGTTTGGGTCTATGTGGACCCGGGGCGACCCAAATAGTGTTATTATATAATATATAATATATAATATTTAAATAAATATAATTATGTATTATTAGCGATAATATTTAAATAATACATATGTATATTTAATAAAACATTTAAATATATTTAAATTATTTATTTATTTTTGGGTTGGGTCCAATCAAGACCAGTTAGGTCCAGATCCTTTCTTTTTTTTTATTTTGTTTAGTTTGGGTCCAGCCGTACCCAGACCCAACCCGAACTGTTGCCAACCCTATGGGATTGTATCTAAATACTCTGGTTTAATTTCAACTGATATTTTATCTTAAAAAAGGAAAAAATATAAAGAATTGTACAAAACAAATTATATTTTTTTTTTTTGAAATTGAATCAAAACAAATCATATTATTATAGTTAAAATTCAAGCAATATTTGCAAGCGAAAATGACAGTAATACATTTCCCAAATTTATCCTAAATGTAGCTAAACAGTAGCAATGCACTTCACAAGATGTATCTAGATGCTATACAAACAACAATAATTCATTTTCAAGTAACGTATTACTTCAGTAATACAGTAATGTATTACTTCAGTAATACAGTAATGTATTATTTCAATAATCCAGTAATGTATTATACTAGTAATGTATTTCACAGATAATGCATTTCCAGATACCCAAACAGCCCTTGATAGCATGACCTTTAAAATGACATACCATGATTCTTACAGCCCACCCCAATTAATTGAAAAAAAAGTAATAATAATAATGGTAAAGGTATACCGTTGCATAAAATCTCTCTCTCTCACTTTCTCTTTCTCACCATTTCGCATGCCATCTTGCCTTTGTGTTTTCACAAATAGATGTGTAAATTGGATTTTCAGATGTGTCCATGCACATATTGGGAGCGACAAATCTAACACGTTTTGAGAGAGAGAATTAGGCCCGGAGAGAACCAAACATAGAGAGGGAGTTGGGCCCAGCTAAGGGTGAGAACAGGCCGAGCCGGGGCTGGGCCAGCCTTAGCCCCCCCATAGCGCTGTCTTATGCCCTGACCAACCCGAACATAACCAACGCCAAGCCAAGCTATAAAAGAAAAATTAAAAGAAAAAGTGACAAAAAAAGGTTGGGCCGACCCGAAACAGCCCTAGTCCTAGTCCCATGGCCACAATTTGTCGCCCAGACCGTACATTTCAGGGCCGGGCCACTGGGTTGGGCCTGGCACATTGCCAACCATAGGCCTAGAGAGAGAACCAAAACATCTTTTACGGTTTCCTCTCTCTCTCTAACAACGATGGGTAGTCGGACATGAGCGTATCATCAACGCATGTGCCTTAAATTCGGATCCTCCCTACGTGTGCAAAACCAACGCCCAACTAATTCTATTCATTCCTCTCTGACTTTGTATTCATTTCCTCCTTTTTTTTTTGTATTTCAGAATAATGAGTATTTTCTTCCCCTGTAAATGTCAATTTTAAAAAACAAAAAATCATTGATCAACAAGAAACAAAAGAGATTAAAAAGACCAATTAAAAGAAGCAGAAAACCATGCCCCTCTCTCTCTAGATTGGGTTTCTCTCTCTGCATTTCAATCCATGCCAAGCCATTGATCCTGCTCAGGTAAACATATGCGCAAGAATCTAATTTTTTGCTTGTTTAATGCCCAAAACTTTAATTTTTCTGCTTTTTATTTTTGTTCAAAGACCTTAATGTCATTGTTAATTTATTTGGAATGTCAATTCAGGGATTAAGAATGCATACAAGAAAGAAATAAGGTTTAATTCCTTAGGTTTTGTTGCAAATGAGATCTCCACCACCGAACAACGACAGCCATGGCACCAACAAAGCCCTTCCAGGTCTTTCTTCGTCAGTGTATTTGCCATTTTTGGGGGGTTATGCATTCGAATTTGATCATGTTGTCTGTGAAAGCAATGTTAGGAGACTTAATTGTTTGAAATTGTTCTCTTTTATCTTTTTCATTGAAACTAATGTGTATTTATTTTAAATGTTTTATTGGATCAATATACAGTTTGTGGTTAAGAATTGTACATGTTTTATGCGGGATTCAACTCGATATAATTATTTTTGTTTTAAGTTTGCTGAAACCGGGAAACTGGATTATTGCAATTAGAATTGGTTCTGGAATTTTATTGGGGAAAATGGAAATGAGTATTTCATTTTCCAACAAAAAATGTAGGCAAAACTGTCGGTTTGAATATAAAAGACAAGACCCACGACTACAAAAATGTCTTTCCTGATTCATTCTTCGAAAAAGGAGCCTTATGAAGCAATTAGCGTGATATATGTGTTTCCTTATTCATCCTTCGAAAAAAGAGCCTTACGAAGCAATTAGCCTGATAATTGTGATAGTATAGTATTTAATTGGAAGAGAACAATTCTATGGCAAAGGGCATGTGGAACAGATGTCTTAGGACCAAATCTCTATGATACATATCCATGAACCTTCTCAGATATACTTGAAAGTAGCTATGGTGGGTGTCTATTGGTGGTCATGGCGTAAATTCAATCACTAAGAGCCATGATGTAAACAATGTTTGCTTGCATTATTGATATTGGTTTGCATTTCTGTCTTCTTAAAAACAGAGCATGGTTTCAGCAGCAATAAGTTGGTTAGCCTTATTATGATGTGGACAATCCATGAAGTAGATAATGTGCCTTTATAACTCTCTAGTTATCAAATTATATAATATTGCTATTGCTAGACATATATTGTTATGGTCTAGAAATAACTGCGAAATTTATAACATGCATGACGATTGTCTAGATATGTCAAAATGGAAATGTATCAAGCAATCACCTAAGTATAACTAGAGATTGCTGCACCATTTTGTGAAAATCGCTTTACATCTAATACAAGTGAGGTATTCAGTGTCTTGCTATTTGTAGGATACCATCCATAGATAGAGACATTGGATTTCAAGAAATATATCCAAAAGGAGACTTAATAAGTTCAAACCTGAGATGTGGGCAGTGGCTGCATTTTTCAACACCTCAACAAATCAATCCCGAGGCCAATACTGGTAGAGTTAGGTGAAGCCATGACGATGGTTTGTATGCAAACAACTGATGCCGTTTTCCATTAGCATATAATATGCATTATTCTCTTTAAGGTGTCGTAGATCCAAATTACACACAGAATTAGAGATAAAGCAGGTAAAATATGGTTGTCGTTGCCAGCAGGTCAAGTTTCTCCTCAATAAAGGTGAGCACATTTTTGTACACCAGAGGAATTGGCAACAAAAGTGCCTTATAGCTATCGACATTACCATGTGCTTTTGTTTTAACACCATACACCCTACAACAAGTAACAACCTTTTCACTAGCCAAAAGATTAATACATTGTTTCCATGAAAATTATCTAGCTCTTCCCACAGTGCTTAGTTCTTCTAGGCTTCTTGGAAGAAGCTCGAGAACTCATCATGACCTTGAATAGTTGCAAGGAGGAACTGCTGGGAGCATATAAATGAACAATGTCTAACACAATGGCATATAAAAGCTCGAGAACTCATCATCTTGCAGGGTTTTCTGGTATGTTATCTCCAAGGAGACTGTTCGGTGACAAAGACAGCAACATCCTTCTCTCGTTCTCAGTCCCAATTGGGATCTCTGATTCTATAGTTGCAGAAGCTTCAGCTCTAAGGGAAGTACTGAGAAATTTCGACGCAGTGTGGGGTCACTCCCTTATCATTGAAGGCGATTCTTCCTGTGTGATTTCCTGGGCATCAGGTTCGGCTCCCTGGCATTGGAGACTCGACAACACTTTCATGGAAATTACACATCTCAGTAGGATCCATCTCGTCACGTGGAGACATATATGGAAAGAAGCAAATGGTGATGCTGACACCCTAGCCAAAGCAGCTGCATCTATCTCTCAAGCCAATTTTCCTACTTCAAATCAGAAATGTATAGCATTTTGTGGCAGCTATGCTTTTTGCATGGGGCACCCGTCGGTGGGTAGCCTATTTTTCGATTGAAACCACTTTGTGGGTTTCAGCCCCTCTTCCTTACTTGTAATTATTTTCTTAATTTCAATAGAGTTAACATTTTCAAAAAAAAAAAAACTAGGTGATAGTCGGAAAACCTTACAGGAATTGTAAGAATATATATATGGTGCTAGTGAGTGTATACCTTACATTCTAAGGCTAAATGAATTTTCAGCCATGATAGGAGATGTTCCAAGGTTCATAAAGTTGATACAATATATGACATTTGCAGAAGAGAAAATTCCTCCCGGGGTGGAAATTATGATCAGGTGTTTAAAGGAAATATTTCAGTGACAGATCCAACATTTATTCTCTACTTCTTATGGTGAGTTGTTGTGCAGGAGTTGTTTGTTGATATTGATGAGGACCATAAACTAAAGCTGGGTCCTACATCAAGCAAATATTACTGCAGGGATGAAATGCTATTGCCTAATGGCATGGAGCTCTCTATCTCAACCTCTAGGTCAAGTGGTTTGCAGCTTACCCTGTCAATATCAAAATGAATTTATCACAAAACAGGCTAGGTCTTTGGAATTCCTCAACCTTTAAAAGTGGGATAATATTATGAGAAAAATGTGTTTCTTCCTTCTCCAGTGTTTTACAAATGATGAATGCAGGGTTGAGGTGTCTTTAAAAAACAATGCATGAGGTAATTCTCTGATATTTGAAATTGGAAATTCTTCATGGGACATGTTAACTGTTAGGTGAAAACATGCACATGTCCAATGTACCCAATTTCTTTTTCCTTATCGATATTGCCATACATCTAATATCATTTCTTGTTTGTGCTGGTCAGCCTTGAAGCCAGAAGGTTGACTTTCAAGTTTCGACATTATGAGATTAGATTTCCATTCCTAGGATATTGAGAGATTGGTCTTTCTTCCGTTTTGAATGAATGCCACTTGTAAATGTAGAGAACATTATGCAACACAGCCTCAAATTTTCTTATCAATTTCATGCGCATTTAGTCATGTTTGGAAATTTTCAAGAATGCATCCCTTTATCATGTACATTTTGAAGCTCTTACTATGTACAGTTGACCTTTGCATCAAGCATTATACATTGTATCATGTTTCTGGTTATAGCTTGTAAACCCCATATATCACCTGCATAAATGATTGGGGAAGAATGTTCATAATGTTGCATCTTTTAGAGGTAAGAAGTACTTTGTAAAGATTTTCAAAGTATGTATTGGTGTATGAAAAAATGCTTTAAGTCCCTTTGGTTTGCTTTTCAACATTTAAAATTTTGTGATCGCCTTCCGTTTACTTTTCATCCATCTTTACATGTAAATCAATTCCTTGTGAATAGGTACATTGAGAAGATTGGAGGACCTAATGTGTCAACCAGGCAATAGGTTATGTGCAGATTGTGGTTCTGCAGATCCAAAATGGGTGTATGTATCAAACATTAGACAATTTTATAAACTTCATTTTCTAGTCCTTATGTGGATGGTTTATACAAGTTTCTATTACTCATTTTGTTGCAAGGGGAATTCCTAGAGATGAAAAATTATTTTCAAACTTGTTATGTTGAACCCTACATGCCACTTCATCTGATTTTTTCTAGAGATTGAATTAATCATGTAATTGTCTTTTTTGATAACTTGTCTTAAATCAAAGATGATGAGTAAATTCATGATGGACTTGGGAGTTTTCTTTGTGCACTTTCCATGATAGTGAAAAATTCCAAGACATACGAATTTATAATTTGGTATTATTTTTGTACTTTGACAAAAAAAAAACTGCTTCAGTATATCTACCCTTGGTTTCTCTAAAATATCTGACCATGAAAGTATCAGCAAGTAACCAAGAAAAAAAACAAAATTCTGAAGCACTGACATAACTATGGTGCAAACCAAAATAGAGTTTTGGAAAAGCCAATAGCGTATAACCACCAAGGATGTCATATGGTTCCAAAGGATGAACAGGATATGGATAGTTCCAATAAGATTTCATTCTTGAACAAAAATCCATTTTGTGATTTATTCCATCTATTCCATGGCTGGAACAAAAGTGGATACATGTTACACCACGATTTTGAGTCAGAAGTCCAATTGCTTACAAAACAAAGAAGAAGAAGAAAACGAACTAATATGTTAATGCCTCGTGGCATGTGTAAAATTATTATATGTATGAAGTGATATTGGAAACTTCTGCTCATGCTGATGGATAAGAGTTTTTGGAATGAGATCCAATGATCATTCAATGTCACTGAGTATTCTAGTTTGCTTTTAGATATTTTGATCCATAGATATACTAGATTAAGGCTGTGTATTTTCGTTATCTTTCCTAAATAAGCACTGCAGATTCTTAAGATATAAATAATGAGACTTAAAAGCTACAATTGATTATGTCCCATTAGTTCACCACAACTATTATGTTCTGAGATTCTCATTCACTTTGCAATCTCGTCCCGATTCATTCTTTAAGTAAAACTCCTCTCCATTTACTCAGATCAGGTATTGTGTGAAGGCATGAACATGTATATTTCTTGTAATGAAAATGGTATTGATCTTAACTTTTCATATCTTGAAATCAATGAATAAGTTTTTATTTGTGCCCCTTTCTGGGATGGGTTTTTATTATTCCATTATTTGACTCGATTTATATATGTGATTCTAGTCAGGATGTTAACTAACCAATTGAATTTGGTTGGAGATCAGATCAGTAAATCTTGGAGTATTCATCTGTATCAAATGCTCAGGCATTCACAGGAGCCTTGGAGTACATATCTCGAAGGTTTGAAAAAATGATTTGTCTGTATAACTGATTATGTCAAACCACTGATCACCCATAATTTGCTTTTTATCATGCACAATATGAAAGATAACAATCTTTCAATTTGAACAGTCAGTAAATGTGGTGGTTTTAATTTTTAAATGAGTAGAATATTACAAAAGAAGTTTTAAGTGAAGAAATTAGCATATATATCAAGATTCAATAGGAGGAACTGTCCTGGTACCTTTGCTCCACCTAGCAAGAAAACTTTTATTCTCTAGGAAAACGCCCATGTTATGGCAATTTCAAGAAGTTGGCTACTATCTTGTGGTGTAAGGTATTTGAAGAAATGGAGTAAATATTGCTGTATATCATAAGCCTATGTGTCTATTGAGAAACCATTGTCTATCCACCATCTAATGAAATGATGATGCTGGTGGAGAGAGAGTGTAATGATGAAACTTTATACTGTACACGTCTTGCAACTTTGACTAATCTGGTAGACTATAACCCGTCAATGCTTCTCTCAGCTAATGGAGGCACACAGCAATGCCTCCCATGACAATCACTCTGCTTGATTAGCTTGGAATCTAAGTTTTTGGTGCTCCAAAATGCTGAAATCCAGAAACCAAAATTTCCTTGTCATCTTAAAATCAGGGTTATCCTATTTTACACCTCAAATATCTGAAGGTCTTTTTTCATTCTTCCAATATTTGTAGAAGCTTTACTTCTGGCTTACCTGGAAAGGATAACAACTTCGCAAAAGTTGATAGAAAATCATCTAGATCAAACATTTCAGGAAATTCATCTAGTTAAATGCCCAACAATCCATTTCCTTTCTTTGAATTTTTGTTCGCCCTGATCAGCTCTATGTCCAATATAGAGTTTTTATAGTTGGAACTGATCAAGTTTTCAAAACAGTGAACCCAACTCACTGGTTAACCATTTCCAGTTTCACATACAGGGAGGTGAACTGCATTGATAGCTTTTTTCATCCATGATAAAACTGAAATCTTCTACAGCTCATATCAAAATTAACATAAACTTGATAGAAACTGGATTCTGAAAAGAGTTGTTTTTTTTTTTTTCCCTTCATACATCTTTCTTTATGTATAGAATATAAGGAGTAAATATTCCTTTTTCTTTTTCTGCATTAGGTTTTATCTGCGAAGCTGGATGAATGGACAGAGGAACAAGTTGACTCTTTGGTCGCTATGGGTGGAAATGTGGCAGCAAACTTGAAATACGAAGCTTCTCTTCCTCCAAATTTTAGGAAACCAAGACCAGAAGCCTCCACACGTGAGCGCTCAGATTACATCAAGTAATGACTTTCTTTTCAATTTAGTGAAACAGCATATTCCCTTTTTTTCCTTGTTGCAAAGAAACATAACATGTTGAAAGCAAAATACAATTGCTTGTGCATTCAGGAGAAAATATGAGCTTCAAGAATTTTCAAGTTCTAATGTAAAAATTGCCCCCTCAGCACCCCTTATTACAAGCTCCTCTTGCCAGAAAGCTTCTTCCAGTAGGAACTTGGGCTCTTCACAAGACAAAAAACAAGTTGAGAAACAAAACCCAAATGCTCGCTTTCAAGGGCTAGGTCATGCTTTTCGGAATAGCTGGAGAAGAAAGGAATCTGAGCAAAAACCGCCAATGAAGAACTCAACAGTATGTGTATCAGTTATACAACAATGTTGCTTAGATTTTAGAAATAATATTTTCTTTTTGTAAGATTTAATGAGGATAGGTTGGAATGTGACCCAAAATCATGGGCATCCACATCTACAAACATACATATATAAAGTGATGGAAGATGCTGGATAGAGAACGGGACCCAGCATTTGTGTCTGTTTTACTGGGTCTCACTCTCTCCAACATAATCCATTACTTCCATGGACAGTAATGACACAATGAACCGAGTTTTTTCCATATTTCATCCATTGGATTACAGTATAGGTTTATATGCGTGTGGGTATGTTTGTCAAGCACAGATCTAGAATAGCTAATGGCTTGAACCGTTATGCTGAATCTATGTAGATGGGTATGGTTGAGTTCGTTGGCTTGATTAAGGTCAATGTTATCAGAGGCACAAAACTTGCTATCCGAGATGTGATGACTAGCGATCCTTATGTAATCCTCACAATTGGACACCAAGTAAGCCTTTATATATTTAGATGGTTATGTCTTTGTTATCTTATTTAGATGGAAACCGCTGATAAAAAGATGGCTTTGGATCCCCGGTTACTAAATCCATGTTGATCTGAGGTGATGCAGTCAATGAAGACACGTGTAATAAGAAGCAATCTAAACCCAGTTTGGAATGAACAGATATTGCTATCAATACCAGAACCAGTCCCACCACTCAAGTTGGTAAATTGTCATACTTCAACTGCATTTACTTATCAATTTATGAACTAGTTTCACTTGCAAGTCTTTTTATGGCACTTGCAATGTGTATTTTTTATTCAAAGGACTCATTCATACACCTCTTAGTTAAAGATGTAACACTACATAGTTATTAAGGTATCTAGGGCAAATCGTGTTTCACAAATCCTCAAGTTAATAACACTGATAGTGGGATATTGCTTCATGGTTACCAATAAAAAATGGGGAATGAATGTAGATATTGCTCAGCTCAAGCTGCATCTGCAGATATGAACATGATTGGAAACATGCTAGAAGAGTAATGAAAATGTAATAGAAATTTATAAAAACTGCCACCTACCACCTACTTCTCTTCTTTCTGAGCAATATGGTCTTACTATCCGACTGTTGCACTGCCATGCTTCCAAAATGTGGAGTTCAAGGAGGTTGCCTAATTAATTAAATTTCCAAACCTCTGAATTTTCTCATTTGATTAGAAACAAAAGAGCTTGTATGTCTTTAGCAACATCCAAAGTAATGATTTCATTACATTATCACCTTATACTTTAGCGAAGTCCAAATTTATCCTGTGGAATGGTACCATACACTCAACAATTTAGTATCTCATACATACTGGCAGTCCAGGATATACAAATAACCATGTAATTTTAAGAAACTGAGCTTAATATAAAACATTAAACAAAAATGGTTCATGAATTTAATTTTCTATGCTTTATTCTTTAGTTCTCATGTGTGAGTATTTCCACTTTTTTTTCTTTGTTTTTCATTTTTTATTGACACGAAACTAATTAGTCATCGCTTGCAATTGCAGCTAGTGTATGACAAGGATACTTTCTCAACGGATGATCATATGGGTGAGGCAGAGATCGACATTCAACCCTTGGTCTCGGCTGCTAAAGCCTACGAGAACTCCACAATAACGGATTCCATGCAGCTTGGGAAGTGGCTAGCTTCTGAAGACAACACCCTCATCAAAGATAGCGTTATCTCTCTTGTGGATGGAAAAGTAAAGCAAGAGATTACTCTTAGGCTGCAGAATGTGGAGCGTGGGGAATTAGAGATTGAGCTCGAGTGTGTTCCTCTAAGTCAATGAGAACAAAGATCATCCACCATCCAATTTACCTCTAACCACTTGGTATATTATAGAGAGTACTTGGTATATTATAGAGAGTAAAAGTTGAGATTCATCATTTCATCTTGCTTAGCCTGTGGTGTTCCAGAAAGGGTACCGGAAGAAGCGGGAATGATGGAAATGGAAGGGAGAGAAGAATGTGGAATGCGACCAATGGTTGTATTTAGAGTTTAGTGAAGAGATGTGGAATGCAAATAAAGATCCCTGAGATTTAACTCCCTGCAATATCTGCCACTTTTGTGTTTTTTTATTTGATTATCTGGCAATTACGTTGGTTGTTTTCAGGGCAAGCTGTAAAAAATTTTGATGATCTCATTAAGAGTGATACTACCGCTTTATCGAATTATAACTGTCTTAATTACTTTTCTTTTTCTTTTTTCCTGAAGAAGAACCATACTTGATTCTATCCATTCTATTGCACGTGATCTTTCTCACTCTTCTCTGGAACTGACCAGAGATCGTATTAGAAAAATATGAATAGAACACATAGTTCAAAATGCATTATGTAGTAAAATATTTATGCATTTTTCTTTGTTTCTTTTTTCTATTTTCATTCATTAGTTTGCCTTCTCCCACCTTCAATGACATTATTTTTGCAGAACTGTCTCCCATGCTTTAGTTACTGTATATAAGTATCGAGTTTGCCAATATAAGCATCAAAATATCATGACAAATTTCATCCACCAAAAATATTTGTATATATAAGCATCAAAATATCCATCATCAATTTCGTCCACCAAAAAAATTTACTCCACGCCAAATAATTGAATCTAAAGACATTATATAAAACAAACACACACACAAAAAAAGAAAGATAGAGAGAGAGAGAGAGAGAGAGAAAATCCTGTATTACTGGCATTGGGTCTTTCACACATTATCAATTCTAAGGGAAAACACCAATGAAGAACACTGGTTTTCTCATGAAAATCAAACAAAATGTGGCACATTCATTTATGTCCAAGAAAGAACTCCAAAATAGGAAAGAATCGCTCCTTCATGCAAAGCACAAGTAGTGCCAAACAAGCATCTTTATACAGACAACCAAACAAGTACTTCCCCTACAACAACTCCCTCTCCCTTTATCAAAGCTTGCACAACTCTCTAATGGTTTCAAGTGCTTCTTTTTCTTTTTTTTTCTTGTTTTTCTTATGCTAAAACAATTCCAACTAAAATCTAATAACATATCCATATTCATGACCAGAAAGAATTTTCAAGGCATACCCTTTTTATCTTTCAGCTAGAAGCAGCATTTGGGGCATCGAACTAGCCCATTCTCATTGCAATTTGGACATCTATACAACTTTCCATCATCAAAGCAAAGCTTTCGGCTTCCATGGCAGTCATCACAGAGCACAAACCTTGCATCTCCACACATTTCACAAACCAAAGCAGGGTCTTGTAATGGAATTCCCTCTATGTACCTACTCAACTCACCAATTTCATGGAGAGCCCGAACCTCCTCTGCGCCTCCTACGTACTCTCCTCTGATGAAGAGTTGGGGCAGAGCCACAGAAGCTCCAAAGATGCTCTGCAACTCCTTCCTGTAAGCAGAGTCCATGGAGACATCCCTCTCATCCACTGAGACCCTGAAACCTCGAAGGATCATCCTCACGGCACAACAATCTTCATAGGTCTTTCTGATCCCCCTCAAGCTTGTGAAGTAAAAAACAATCTTGTTGTCACCAGAGGGTGGGGGCTTTAAAGTTTTCAGGTCCTTATCCAATGGCAAGATCTTTGAGCTCGAATGAGCTTTCGGGTCCTTCTCCAACGAAGAGACCTTCAAGCTGGAAAAGGATATGGGCTCAGTCCCTAATGGCGAGACCTTTGAGCCCAAAATGGTTTTTGGGTCATCCCACAAAGGAGAGGCCTCTGAGCCCAATTGAGCTTTCAGGTCACTCCGCAAAGGTGAGGCCATAAGGCTGCAAAGAGCGCTTGGATCAGTCTGTAATGGTGAAACCTTTGGAAAAGCCATTGAGTCCTTATGTAATGGCGACCACTTCATGCTTGAGAACTCTTTCGAGTCATGCTCGGTCTCAAGTTTGCCCCTGGAGATTGCAGAGAAACTCTGGGACTGGTTCAGGACCTTGTGGGTGGTGCGGTTATTGCGGGCAGCAGCAAGCATGAGGCTCGAAGCCACGCTGGGGTCCATTTCTTCGATTAGAGACTCTTCAGTCAAATGCATCCACAGAGGCCTCGTTGAAATCCTTGAAGGGCTCTGCTTCGACAATGGGACGTTCGAATTTTGGCAGAATTTCTGGGTTTCTGATTGAAAGTTACGATCTTTCTCTAATTCCTCTTTGATTTGAGCCTTCTTAGCAATTTGAAGATCAAAGTTCTCCCAAAATTTCGATCTATCCAATTCCGAATTCCACTCCAATTCCTCTCTTCTTTTTGTCTGCCCATTTGTAGCAAAGCTATGGTCTTCAATTCCTTCCATGAGTTTCAGGGTATTGACGCTCTGGGGCGTGCTTTTATTTGGGCTTTGTGGTGAGAATTGAGATAAAGAATCCATTACCAAAGAACCATAGGTGGTGGATGTGAGAGAAACAAGGTGATAACTCTCCCCTTTCTTTGATGGGGGATGGTGAACTGGACCAGGCAACGGCATGGACATGCTTCTGTTGACAGGGGCCATGGATGCTCCAACTACTCTTCCATATAAGGTCTCTCTAGAGCTTGTGCATCCCATTTAGAGAGGGAAAGAGATATAGAGAGAGAGAGACCCACTTTGAAAAGACCCTCTTCACGCCAACACCCTTTTCTTTGTCTTGCAGAAAACAGGACCCTTTGCTTGCTTTCCTTATTGGACACACTCTCTCTCTAAAGCTTTTTCTGGGTCTTTCTCTCTCTTCTCTCTAAAGCTTTTTCTGGGTCTTTCTCTCTCTTCTCTCTAAAGCTTCCTCCTTTTTGGGTCCCTCCCTCCCAGTTCCTCTCACAGGAACCTTTCCTTTCTTGGGTTCTCCCCCCCTTTTCCTTTTCTAATTCTGAAACTGTTTCATTAATTTATTGAGTTCTCTCTCCCTCCAGGTTTTCTCTCTCTAAAACAGACTTTGAGTTTTTGCCCTCTAAACAAGACTCTCTCTCTCTAAAACAAGACTGTCGTATATGAACTCTCTCTAAAACAAGACTCTCTCACTCGAAAACACGACTTTCTTCCATGGACTTTGACAGCACAGCTGGTGTGTGATAAAGAGCGCTTATGGATGTTGCAGAGATAGAGAGAGAAAAAGTAGTGGGGCCGGGAGAAAGAGAATGGATTGAATTGGAAGAAAGGTTCGGTGTTTGATGGGTTTTGTATTGAAGAAGGTTACATGTTTTTTATTGCTTTTTGGATTGTGTGAAGTTAACTGGGCACTTTTATTTTATTTTATTTTTTTATTGAATAGTGGTTGAATTGCCCTTATTTTTCTTGAAGATCCCTGCCTTTTTTAGTGACCCTTTTCTTTTCTTTCTCCGTATAATGATTTTAATTTATATGATGGAAAAAAAAATTATTTATGATATAAAGAGAAAATAATAATAAAAATAATAAAAATAAAAAATAAAACAGATTAAGAGGTTATATCATCTCTCTAATTTCATATCTTTGTAAATCCTTTTTTCAAATCTCCCTTACCTCTCTCTAATTATATAAATATAAAAGAGATGATCATCTAATTCAATGACATTATTGCAACATTAGAATATAGTGAAGAGTTTTCCTAAACATTGAAAATTAGTATCGAGTAATAAAGAACATATAATATTGGAAGGAATTCAATCTTTTTTGTCCAACATCCCCAACATAGAGAGCATCCTTACCATATCTTTTACCAATAAACAAAATAAAACAAAGTAGAAGCCAAACTTTAGGTTTAAGGTCATTGTATTTTAATTAGGAAAACGTTTATATAGAGCCTAGGCTCTAAACAATCAAATTGGAGCCTACTTCAAAACATTCACTAGAAGAGGTTGTTTTGATGCTTGAATATCATCAAATCGATCATCTCGACATCCAGCTGCATAGAAGACGTTGTTTTGATGCCCGAATATCATCAAATTGATCATCTCGACATCTAGATGCATTAGAAAAAAATGAATTTCAAGCTTTGAAAATAGTCCATTTTGTAACGCATTTTTTGGCTGTTAATTTTAAGATGTTCAAATTTTCATAGATCTGATCGGTTTAGACTATTTTGGAAGCTTTAAATTTAATAACTAAAGATGAAAATATAATTTAACGCTACTACAAAACTTTCCCACATTGAACCATATTTCTCGATACTATGTGAAAGTGGGGCTCAAATTTGATTGTTTAGAGCCTCGCTACAAACTGCACCCTTTTAATTATTGAGCACATATACTATACTCCTTAAGGACTATAGTGCCCACCTAGTCCCTTAGTCAAAAGACATTTGGGAAACGTTGTCAGTTTTAAATTTGGGAACCACTTAACTAAATGATTATTTTCAAAATAAAAAAATTTAATTTTGTTAGATCTCTCCCTTCAAAAATTCGATGGTCTATGTTTAATCAATGTGTTATTTTTTCAAGTGCATTGAGAATGCAATTAGGACTTTTTTTTTATTGAAGTTAACCTATGGGTTGAAGAGGTGATTTCCCCATTACTTGAGGTCCTAAAAGTAATCATTTACCAGGGAGTAACTGGATTGTATACTCCTGCAGGAGCATAAATCTTTTGGCATGAAAATGTTCCCCACACACTCGGTATTTTATTTTGATTTTTTTTAGAAAAAGAACAACTGCGCCTCAGCTTTTATAATGTTCAATTTTCTTGTTGGTTAATTATTTTATTATTTATTGTCCTAAGCCCGGAGTGAGAAGTAACGGGCAAAGCGCGTTGGGCTCCAGCAAGTAACCAACATCTCTTTAGGAAACGCGGTTGGTCAATTTTCATTGACTTTACCTCACATGGCTTTTATAGACGCCACCTCAAACAAATATAATGCAGTGTACAGCGTAGCCCCGTGGGAGTACATAGCCAGGCAAACAATAAGTGAAGAGACAATAAAAAAGAAAATAATAATAAAAAAAAAGAGAGAGAGGATGAAGCCTGGCCGAAGTGGTCCGGCACTGGCCTTAGCCCTAGCTCGATCCTCCTGCCATAGTTTGTGGCTAGGGCCCACAGCTTTTGGGCTGGGCCACCCCCTGGCCCATTGCCAACCCTACTCCTGCAC